TCCCTGGGGAGGAAGGGAAGGGAAGGGGTGACTGCGCCTGTATAAACCCCGCTGAATGGGCCATTCACGCCGGCTCGGGCATGGCCGCCCGCGCTATAAATAGCCATGAATCGCCCGCTTTGTTGCCCGGCGTGTTCTGCGAAAACAAGGCTCTTTCTTCAAGGGCAGGATCGAGGGTGGGCCCAGCGAGATGTGGAGAAGGCGGACAAGGCCCGGCAAGATCTGGGGGGCGGGGGAAGTGGTGGGGGGTAAACCCTGCAGTGCTAATATGCCCCCTCCTCTCTCTGAACTGCATGCCTGGCACAGGACCCGACGCAGTCACCCATGGGCACATGTCCAACAGAGAGCGCCCAGCTGAGCCTCTGGCTCCAGACAGGTGCTCGGAGGGGCTCAGATACGCCAGTGATGGGCACGGTACAAAACCAGACCCTGCGCTAGATGGGCACCACGGTTGTGCAGCCGGCGAGTAGACCAGTCGCTTGGCTGGAGTATCCCGTCCCCCGTTCCTCATGCCATCAGCCGGGCGTAGGAGAACGTCAGTGTCTTTGCATGGCGCCGGGCGCTGGGCGGGGCAGGATCAGAAACACCTGCCGGCCCGCACATGTGCAGCCCCCACCCATGCACCACTCACTGCCCCCCCCCCGCATCCTCAAGCCCCACCAGCCTGCAGCCCCGACCCCTGGCAGCGTAGGCCGAGGGCGGTGCCGCCCAGCCAGGCTGACCCACAGCGCGCCAGCACCGCTTACCGGCATCCTGTTCAAGACGCGCCGGCGTGGGGGCGGGCAGAGGGCCCTCCCACCCTGCGTCCTTTCCCTTCGGGGCGGGCTGCTCTCTGCCCAGGCCGGCGGCGAAAGACAGCAGGGATCTGGCTCGGCTCTGGCAGCCTTTCGCAATCGTTGCCCGTGGGGAGCTGCGACACAGCCAGGCTCCCCCCCCCGCCAGCCCTTCCCCGCTCCCAGCCGAGGCCAGGAACCGGGCGGGAGAACAACATGTTTACTCACTGGCTCGGGTCACGATGCTGCCTGCTGAGTGCCCGCGCCTCGGGCAGCGTACCAGCATCTCTGGGTCATACCCGCGGCTGGGCCCTCGTCCCCGGGCCAGCAGGTCTCTAGGCATCACCCAGGGCATGGGCATACCCCCATCCCATCCACATGCCCCAGGCTGGCCTCCCAGCAGGGCACCCACTTGCAGGCAGGGTTCAGTGCCCGGGGCCCGTTCACCGTGGTTTGGGGGTGGGGATGTTGTGAGCTAGGCTAGAGGAAGGAAGGATGAGGAGAAATGCAGAGGGAGGGGTCAGGACCCAGATCCAGCCCCCACTCAACTCGGGAAAGGGGAGATTCAGGCCTCCTCAGCCTGGGCCCACGCAGTGCTGACTTCCCCGTCGGCCTGAGGGAGGCCGGGCAGCTGGCAGAGCAGTGAGGGGGGAGGGCTCCCTATAACATGAGAGACACCCTCCCTTGCCCAAGCTGGCATCCCTCCCTGGCCCATCCCTGCTCTACCCCCCTCGCCCTGCCCTCGGCAGGGGGGACAAGACACGCAGCAGCCAGGTGTGCCCAGCACCTCCTCCGGTGTAGCGCCCCTGTTAGTGCCACCCTAAGGGTGGATCAAGGGCAAAGGAGCCATGCTATGACCCTTGGGCGAGAGTGTGTGTTCCCCCCCCCCCCTAGAGGTTCCCCCCCCCCCCCCCAGGGAGCTGGCAGAGAACGGCTGCTCCTGGTGCCCCATAGACAGTCTCTGCCCTGCTGCCCCTCTCCGGTTGCTCCTGGTGTCCAGTAGACGGGCAGGGGATGCCCTGTTGCACCCCTTAAGAGCGTGTGTCGATGCCCACGGGCACCCACACCAGGCCACAGCAGAGACACCGGCCCTTGCAGTTCAGTCTAGATATACACGGGATGGGAGGTTCCCCTAAAGCTGAACTCCGTGTTCCCTGCTCAGGAAACACACCCGTGCTCAGAGAATGGCTGGCAGGGAGGGTGCCCGGCCTTAAAATAGGCCCTGTCAAACGATCAATGTGAGAACTAGCCTCTCTTCCCCTGGGCCACGGATCAGGCCAGAACTGAACGGTCCAAAGAGACCTCCCTCCCAGTCAATCCCTTTGCATGGGATCCCAAAACCACGCTGGTCAGTTTCACTCCCCTCCCCGCAGCATAGTCAGTTTCACTTCCTGGTTCCCATGTGGGGTCAGGTCCCCAGGAGGGAGGGAACCTGGGAACGTCTTGCCCGAAATCTGGGGATCTCGCTTCTCGTTTGGAAACCAATTCCATGAAAATTACCGGGTTGGTAAAACCCTCTGTGTGCACCAAGCCTCAGCCACGGCCCCCGGCCAGCCCGAGAATGTCTCTGTAATTCCCATCCCCCGGTGCCCGCGCCACCGTCGCCCGATCGCAGCCACCCACGCCGGTGCCAGAACCGCCCGTGAGAGTGTTTTATAATCCCCGCAGCGTCCAGGCTGGGAGGGTATAAACGGTGGGTCTGTCTGCACAGCAAAAGCGGTGCCTGAGGCTAGCCTGGCCCGAGCGCGCTGGGATCCAGCTGGCATGGGTGAGCACAGCCGTGAAGCGAGCGCAGCGCCGTTGGGGGAGGAAAGGGGGCAAACCTGGCACAGATCCTGGCTATGGGCTCAGCCCGCTGTGCAGCCTGGCAACACCCCCTGGCTAGGATCTGGGCTGAGACCCAGCAAACTCGTTTCACGCAGGGGCCCGCTGGATGGGGACGGCCAGCGAGAGAAAGAGGCTTGAGGTTCCCCCAGTGAAGCTTGTCTGAAAATGCAGCTCCAGGAGGGGGCGCACTGGCTCCAGATCAGCCCCCCAAATATTCCCCGAGAGGCAGGCGGGGCGGACGTGGGAGAGCCGTGGGCATCGCCCAGCAAGGTGGCAGAAAGGAGGCCGGTGCCCTGTGCTCTGTGCATTGGCCAGAGATGTGCAGGGCCGGGCCTGGGGAGCAGCACCCAGACCCCAGCTTTGGACCCGCCAGCACGCAGAAGGGATCGGAGAAGCAGCCAAAGGGTCGGTGGTAGCTGCCAAGCTCCTCCCAAGCACCCTGACCACTCGCCTTTGCCAGGCTTGGCTTGGAGGGGTCAGCACGGGAACTTCGAGCTCTACAGGCCACTGGATGGGCCAGGAGAAACCGTCCCTCCCAGTGCCATCCAGTGCCAGTGC